AAACCTACTTGAAAGTCTGAAATACTTCCACTTGGTGGTTCGTATAACTTTGTAGGTTTTCGTAAAAGTCATTTGCCAAGCATAAGAAAAGAGTTTTGGGCGCCAGAAAATGAAGCATGAACAATAATAGCAGCTGGTCGAAAACATCTTTAAATAAATATGGTTCATCTCTTGCATATCGACTGTAAATATTTGCTAAAGGAAGTTCGACTTTCTGATTTAACATTCTTTGCAAATAATACATGACATTGCAGTGAATTCTGTATTATATTTGTTCGTCTTTCTTTGGATTTGTCTTCGTAGATTTGAAATGACACTTGTGAATTTTGTTTGTCATATACAATTCTCACATAAAGTGTGCTCTCGGTATTTTGCATATTCATCAGCATATTTTGCATAACATGAATTTATTTATCTTCTATATTTTTAACGCAGTCTGTAGAGAAGATGAAAGGTCAACTTGTATTAGCTCAATTTCTTCCCACATTTTTCGTTTCCCTTCAGATATATAATCTATATGAAACCTTACAATAAATGGAAAACTTTTATCTTCTACAGACACAAACTTCATTCTACGAAAGCCATAGCTTTGTTGACAGATGGGTCTCTTAGCCATCTTAATGGGTAGTCAAAACGATAGCCTTCATGCTTTACGGTCTCTGTCTCAAACTTTTTGACCGACATTAGTAAAAAGTTCATCTAATGGTTTAGTTGTAGCAACTCTTGAATTTTCTTTTTCTATTGGAAGCATATTTTATCTAGAATAAAAATGTCGAAAGATATTGCTTCCATGAGAGAAATACAACACAACCGACAACTCATTATGCAAGCTCTAAATAAGAACACAACAAACTTTTCAAACTATTCTAAGATATCTGAGTCATTGAAAGAAGGAAACTTAAAACTGACATTAAACCCTTTAACAGATGAGTTTCTAATTTCAAGACAAGAAGAACAATACTGTCTGTATAAATCCAACAAAAGGAACTTTAAACGAGAAACCTATAAATGAACTTCTTTTGAAAACAGATGTTGACAACAAAGCTGACAAAGAATATGTAGACGATGCAATAGCAAAAGAAGAAGAAAGAGCTAACAATGCTTATGCAACAAAAGAACATACTCATCCTGAACTAGCAGACAAAACATATGTTGACAATAAAATGTCAAGTGAAGTGACAAGAGCTGAAAACGAATATTCAAAAAGACTCATACACATACCATTGCAAATATTACAAACTTACAAGAAACCTTAAACAGGAAAAAGTGCCGTTGGACATACACATTCTATATCTGAAATAACAAACTTACAAGAAACCTTAAACAGGAAAAGTGCCGTTGGACATACACATTCTATATCTGAAATAACAGACTTAAACGTTAGCCTTGAAAAGAAAGCAGACAAGAACCATACACATACAAGTTTTACAACTGTTGCTATAGAAAGTATTGAAGGAACGGTTGAAGAAACTGGTGGGGATGCAATTATATTGTAAACCTCCTAACTTTCCACAAGGTTTAACATCGGATGACGACATAACGACGATGAGAAACATTAGATGTAAAGATGTTTATGTCATGAAGGATGAACATAATATTAAATTCACTGCTCAAGATTTATATGACAAGAAAGCAGACAAAACAGAGCTTCAAACATTAAAGACAGAAATACTTCAAACATATTCCTATAGGCTCTATTTATACGTCAATGAACTCTACCAGACCAGAAACAGTTTGGGTTTTGGAACTTGGACTCAAATAGTCGACAGGTTTTTGTATTGTGCAAACTCTTCAAAGGAAACAGGTGGAAGTAAAACGATTTCAGGTGAAAATTTACCTGCACATAGTCACTACATAGATTTAAGTACATCTCAAGCAGGTTGGCATAAGCATAGATTTGGGATTGGTCAGCAATGAAAAAGGTAAAGGATATGATGTTAAAGACAACGTTCAGTTTGCTATAATTGTTTCTGGAGTAACACTGAGGAGAGGAAACCATACACATCGCGTTTCAGGATATACGCAAACAACGGGACAAAGTAAAGACTACATGCCACCTTACATGACAGTTTACGCATGGTATAGAATTGCTTAGTCGTCATTTTCAACTTCTTTAGCATATTCGTCAGGAGTTGTCTTATATTTGTTAGGAACTGTCTTTGAAAGTATACCACCTTGAACTTTGACAAGTTTGAAACGAGGTCTGACAATAGTAGTTTTATCTTCTGCTTGCATGTGTACATTTTGCCATGTTTGCCTAAAACTTCATAATATTCTCTTGTATACTTTCTTCTATTTTTACGAACACGAATGTGAGTACCTGTCGGGTTCCCATTGTTGTCATAGTCAATAGTATTTTCATATGGGTCGCGTTTAGGTATTTCTATTTTTACTTTGTCACCTTTCTGAAGTTTGAAGCCCGGCATTCTTTCTTGTTTGTCTCTTTTGACTAAATTATTAAATATATAGTCTTTCTCTAAGTCAGGGTTGTTTTTCATTTCTTCGGGGGAGTGGTTTCCCAAACCTTTTTGTTTACGGCTATTGTAAATATTTAAAACTTGTCTCATCTTTGCCATGGAGAAGTGTCTATATTTGTCGTCATATGACATTTCATTTGCTTCACCACCTTGTGGTTGTTTAAGTCTCTTAACATTTTTATACAACCGTCAATGACACCAAGAGCAGAATGGTTTTGGTCGACAATGAAATATTGGTTTACATTTTTTGAACGCAGATAGTTTTTTAATCATCTGATTTGAAAGAACTTTCACAGTCAGATGTCAGTTTTGTTGGATGGTATTTGTCAACGAATATTGTCAAAGCAGTTTTCACATCTAAAATATTTTTGGACCATAATGGTATGGCTTCACAGTATCTTGTGTTTTGACCGACAAATATTAGCCAGTATGGTGGTCCATCTTCTCTATACCTCGGAATGTTTTCCAAGATATCCATAAACCAAGCATTTGGTGTTGAACTAAAGATTTTTATCATGAGTGCTTTCTTTGTCGCTTTAGAAACATAGGGGTCCTTGTTTGGATTCGTCATTTTTACCCTATAAGAAATGGGTTTATTTGGCGCATTAGCAGGAGTTGCATCCAGATTTTTGCCCGCAGTGGGAACAATAGCCAGAGGTGTATTTGGAGTTGGAAGGAAGATTTTGAGTACATTAGGTATACTTAAAGAGAAAGCACAACCTATTATACAAACTGTACAGAAAGGTTGGGATGTAGCACGAGATGCAACAAATCTTATTCCAAATCCTGAAACAAGAGGAAAAGTTCAAGGATGGATGGACAATGTAGGAAGACAAGCAGGAAACTATTATAACAAAGCAAATGACTACTATAACCAAGCAGGACACTATATGGACCAAGGTGAAAGATTCTTTAACAGAGGATATAACCATGCACAACAATGGGTAAACAATAACCAACCTCAACCGCCTCAAACGTGGGGAATGTAAAGTTTTTTACTGAGATGAAATGAACAATACATTGAGACAAATGGGTTCAAGATGGATTTGTCGACTTCAGCAGTTACACAACGTGTTTGTCAAGTTCTTCCTATACCTCAGGAAGTTTTAGACCGACTTAAAAAAAACAACAACAGTTGAAAAAAACAAACTAAAATTTTTTACTGAGATGAAATGACCGAAGAAGTTGAAACGGTAGATTTGACACCACAAACAAAAAGTTCAGAACCATTGTCAAAACCTGTCAAAGAACTTACAGATGAAGAGAAAAATTCAATAATAGAAAGTGCCAGGTCTGGAAATACAAACCCTAACTATAAAGTCACTTTTCATAGAAATGGAACGGCTAGTATCTAAAAAAGAAACAGACTCTCACAAATAAAAATATTGAAGTCTGAAGGAGCTTTCGAGACAACAGATGGAAAAGTTTACTTCACTGACCAACAGTTCATTATAGAACATCTCATTGACTTAGAGTCGAAATATTCTAAACTTTACAACAAACACAAAAAGTTGAAAGGAAAACAAAAACAAATGGCATATGATATTTATGAAGATGTTGACGACACAACTGTTCCTGCAGGTGAGGTAAAGTCAGAGGAACCGAAAAGTGACGAAAAACCGATAGAAGAAGAGAAACCAAAAACTGAAGATAAAAAAACCAAAGTTTAGTTTCCAAACTAAACCAAGTCAACCTTCATTAGCTGGTATGGGTTGGCGTCAAAGACTTATGGCAGCAGGCGGTTATGTTAAGTAAAGAAAAAACATTTTTTTATTTTATAAAAATGCCCCATATAGAATGATAGAAAGTCTGCTAGAATAAAAGCAGAGTTGCAAAGATATGGTTGGAGAGTTTCGAAGAATTTAAATATAGGAAGGGAAGACCATAAAAGTCTATGACAAAACTGGCTGGTCTTCGCTACGAAATGGATTTGGAAACAGCACGTGCCAATTATCCAAACAGACTAGAGAGGTTAGAAGAAGAACGTCTTATGGACATGCCTTTCGATGTTAGTGAACTCAAGTTGAAGGACACGACGGCTTTGCCAGATTCTACTGGAAACATGACGAACAATTGCATCCTTTGAGAAGGAAAAAAGGAGTGCAAGAGATGGTCATGCTCCCATGGAAAGAACAAGATATGCATATGAAGTACCGTGAAGTTAGAAGTCAAATTACATCTGGTCGAACCTTTACAGTAAACTTTGACGAAGGAAAGAACAAAGAAGGCTTCATGGAGTACTTGCTGCATACAAGACGGAAATAAGAAAGGACAACAATCTCAGATTGACCATAACAGATTTGGATGGTCACATTTACTATGCACATGGCAATGAACAACAGCCGCAAAACTTCTTGACGCTTTCAAGACTACAAAGGAGAGAACAAATGGTTGACTCCGACTCAGACATTTTGAATGCAATTGAAGGAATTGCAAGTGTCAAGTTCGAATGGTACCAACCTAACCTCAAGCAGTCAGACAACATGCTGGATACTTTCCGTTCATAAATAAAGTCTGACATTGACTTGACAAGGTATGGAATTTACAATTCAATTGAAACAATTGTCAATGAACCTTGTATTCTTACATGTCTCAGGAACTCTGGTCTTGTTACAGATGAGAAGATGAAGTATCTTGAGTCATGTGTGAAGACAAGGTACATTCTCAGAGGTCAATTGGCAAAAATTGCACCGTTGGCAAATGTCAATATCCGAGTCAACATACCTACAGCTAAAGGTTCTTCACATGACGACTATGTTGTTGAGTTCAATTTACCATGGTTGAAGATTGCAATTGTCCACAACCACTTCATGTTGAACGAAAGTCTTACAAACCCATTGTTCGGAAAAGGCAAGTGCAACATTGTCAGAGCTGTAAACATTCTTTTCGAGAAAGGTTTGTTGGAACCAATTCCAGATGACAAGCTGACAGAAACTTTTGTACCAAAAGACGAAACAAACTTTTCACTGTTAGCAAGACCAAAAGTTGTTCCAGACAAAGTTCTAGTACAAAAGAAGTACACAATTCCAAAAGGAGTTGGATTGTTCGGATACCAACCTGAACCAGAAGAACTTCCAATGAGGTTGCAAGAACTTCAAGATGCTATAAACAAACTTCCATTGAGACATCCAATTGACGTCAAATTGTATTGGAGAGCATCTGAGTTAGGTCAGAAGGTTTTATATGAAACAGGTTGCTTCGACGATGTTTATGAGATAACAGGAGAAGTTTCTCAGAAGATAAGAGACTCACTTGAATTTCCACAAACTGGACCAATTGGTTGCGACAAGTTCGACTCAGATGAAAAGATATACTATGTCGACCTTAACGCTGCATACATGAGGTTTGTCCAATATATTCGACTGGAATTCCAAACGAAGATGGTGAGTTCCCGGGAAGGAACTATACAGTTGGAAAAGTCATACAACAACTGTATGATATTAGGAAAGCTTCAAACCCCAAACTTGCAATGACACTCAAATTGCTTATGAATTCGACATGGGGATATTCCATTAAGAAACCTCAAGAGATGAAGAGTAAACATTATGAGAAGGTCGACAACTTTGTTGAAAGGTTTTCTCCTTTTGTTTTGAAGTACGAATTCACTCAAGGTCAAAGTGGCTTAGTAACCACATTAAAACCTATTGTCGAACATTGGTCTTACCCTCAGTTCGCAAAGGCAGTCCTTGACAACTACAACAAATTCTTCTCCGAAGTCAAATCGAAAGTTGTGGTTTACTATGAGAACATTGACGCACTCATGACGAACGAAGAAGGATACAACAAACTCATTGAAATGGGAATGGTCGGTGAAAAGATGGGTCAATTCAAATTGGACAAAATTTTCACCGAAGTTCATGTCCTCTCCAAGCGTAAGTACTGGGGCATACTTGAAGACGGCACAAAAATAAAACATTGCATGAAATAAAAATTTTTATTCGAATTTGAATTAAAATGTGGGAATTCTTGGGAACGGGAAAGGCTTATTTACTTGAGGAACAGGTAAAGGTGGTGGAGGTGGAGGTGGTGGCAACCAGTCCATTTTATATTCCTTCCTAGCTAATTTCCGTTTAATTTCATGGTCGCCCTCGGAGTCTTTGAATCGGACAGGTCGAGTTACACCATTCTTGGTCTCAAACTCATATATAACCTGTTTGTCTGTATTTTCGTCGACTATGGCACGAGACACGAACATTGACCAAACGGACAAAAAGTGTCATTTCGGATGGTCACGCAGCCAATCGCATTCGAGCACTTCGAAGAAGCCTTACGTTCCAAGGGAGAGGGTGTCTGGTGCAAGGCAGAGGTCATGAAACTCTACGAGCAGTACATCCTCAATGCCTGGGAGGACAAATCGTCCTTGGATTGGCAATTCTACCAATCCTCTGGACGACCTCCTACGCAACTGGGATAACGAAAGAGCCCAATTCAAAGGTCGGGAACTAATTTTGCAAATTACCTTAATTTAACATACTTATCCAAATAAACACCTAAATTTACTTGGGGTTTCCCCCTAAAATAAAATTTTTTTTACTCTTAGAACCACTCGAGGTTTCTCCTTACGGTTGTTGAGCTTGTCACCGTCAATGTGTCTGACCTGTCTTCTTGTCTGGATTTGGAACCCATTGAATTGCGACAAGCTTGCCCATGGAGAATTGAACCGCGATTCCGAAGGTTAAGGTTCAAGTGTCCCAAGTTGTTGAGGACTGGGGTAAGAACCTTGCCTGTCTCCTTGTTGCGGATTTGGTATGGGTAGGGTTGGGGAAATTTCGTAAGCGTCATCGGCAACAAGGGTTGCCCAAACTTCCTTTTCTTCGTGTTTCTCTTCTTCTTCTTCCTCTTCTTCCTCTTCTTCCTCTTCTTTGATAATACCTTCTTCAATTTGGTACTCACGAAGTACGGTGTTGCATGTTCTGTCCTTTCCGAGTACCTTCCAGATGGCGTCTATCTCTTCGAAGAAACGGTAGATGAGTCTGGCAAGGTCTCGGTTCTCTCTCGCGTAAATGTGCAAGGTTTCCGTGAAATCGTTCAGGCATTTCTCATTGGAAGCTTGGTTCGTGAGGACTTCGACTTTGAGATTGGTCATCTCTGTCATAAGACTACTTTGGAGAGTCTTAATGGTGTTTGTCAGATGAGCTTTCAATTGGGCAATTTGAATTTGAACTGGGCGCTTGTCTGGCAACCTTGAAAGGACATCTGCTATTGTGTTCGGCTTCGGTGCTTGTTCGGACATCGAAAAAATGAAGTGGTTTGAGAATGGCGGTTTTACTTCAAAAAGCTTGTTATGACAGTTATGTCATACAACAAGTTTAAAATAATATCTTGTTCTTCTTCTGAACGTTTGTTGTCTCTTCCGATAAAAGTTTCGAACATGAGAACCAAAAAACGTTTTTTGAGATTGCGGAAGAGTTCAGGCAAACGTTCATATTCTGGATATGTTGGGAGCAGTTCAAAACATCTGAGCTGACTTTCGGACAAAATTGGGACAATGTCAACAAATTCATCTTTGGTCGGACTGCTTGAAGGTAAGTCCCTTACATGTAAGTAGCTCTGGTAAAGTCTTCTCATTTCTGCTAACTTTTGGAGTATAGCTTCGTAGTTTAGAAGTTTTAATTTTAATTGTCTTATTCCACTCTTGACATCTAAACGGTAACTATCCATGAGGTCAAGAGTAGCTTTGGTAGCTTTAAGTGGAGCTATCTGTTCCTTGACTTGTGCAATTTTGGTTGCAATTGTGGTTTGAGCTCCTTCAAGTTCGCCGTCTATGTCGTTCTCAACACCTTCAACCATAGCTTGAAACTCTTCATCGGTCCATTGAGTTTGGTGTGGGACGAATTTAACTTGCTTCATTCAAAAAATG